CTGCCGTAGCCCTCCGCACTTGCGAATAAGAGGGGGGGGGCGGCGGGGACGTCGGCAGTCTGCGAGGCTCTGAAGAAGTCCGCTGCAGGCGCGACATTTTTACGAATTGTACAGCGAGCCCGCCGCAGGCGACGACTTTTTTGTTAACCCAATGGTGGTGGGTCGCGGGGTCGGTCGCAGGTGGGTCGCGGGAGGGTCGCGGGTGGGTCGCGGGTAGGTCGCGGGTGGGTCGCGGGTGGGTCGCGGGCGGGTCGCGTGGTCGGTCGCGGGTGGGTAGCGTGTGGGTACGGGGTGGGTCGCGGGGTGGGTCGCGGGTGGGTCCGGGTTGGGTCGCGGGTAGGTTGCGGGTGGGTCGTGGGTGGGTCGCGGGCCGAGTCGCGAGGGGAACGACGACAACACAATAATCATTTTCATATTGCTCGCCCTTAACTGCTCCCGTGCCATTCTTCACGTATATCCCAAACCCTCGGTACCTGCCCTATTCGTCTTCGATCGTACCCCCCTTGGAGGTATATCTTCGCTACCTGCAGCGTGTAGTTGGCGCAGCCCCTGCATCAGGGGAAAAGAGGACGGATGGCAGAGGGAGGGAGGAGGATGGAGCACGAATGAGATTAGCAGGGGGGGGCTAGGAACAGAAAATACGTGAGAGAACCAGACGGGCAGATCAGGCGGGTACACCCTAACGGGCGGGTCGGGAAGGCGGGCCCAGGCGACCAGGTCGAGCAGGCGTGATGCCGAAGTGTGAGGAGCATGAATCGCGAAGACGTCTCGAGCGATAGCGCGGTTCCGTGTAAATCATGAGAATGGCCAGAGTGACAGAGTGATTTCTAAGGGTTGGGGCGCGACGCTTGAATAAATTGCGAGGGAGTCCGACGCGAGAGCGCGATTTCTGCATACATTGTGAGGAGGTCCCGCGCGAGAGCGCGATTTGGGAATACATTGTGAGGACGTACCAGGCGGGAACTGTTGTTGTTGTTGTTGTTGTAACTCGGGGACCCGCCGCCCAGTGTGAGGCTCAATACTTTCCTTGATCAAATAGCAGGGTGCGAGCCCTGGGAGGGGACGGAACAATACAATGGTTACTGGAGGGGGGGATCAAGAATCATTATTTTCAGAAGTGAGAATTCAAGAACAACAGCAGCGACACAACCACCACAAACAACAACACCAACATTAACAGCAACAACAACAGCAACAGCCACCGCAACAGCAACAGCAACAGCAACAACACCAACGATTCACAACAACAAGAACAACACCACCACCAACAACAGCATCATTAAGGACAACAGCAACAACACCACCACCAATAATACCAACAACACCAACAACGGCAACCACAACGACAATCACTACACCAATCACAACAATACAACTACCAACAGCAGCAACAACACCACCACCACCCCCCACACAACAACATAAACAACAACAACAACAATTACTAGCACGTGGGGACACTCCGTTCTCACCAGTGCCAGGGTTTTCATAGGAGGCGGGCAATACCCCCACTTTGTGGGGGGGCCGGTTCAAGCTCTACCAAATTTCCAAACGACTCTTCGCCACCACCCACACCCAGCTTCCCGCCCTATGACGTTCGGACACTTCACTTCGTGGCATGCGGACGACCGTGGCTACTATTCAGGGCCCCGCGGCCGACGACGACGGCGTGCGCGCGCGAAGAAAAAACGAATGTGTCCCGCATGGTATTATTTGACAGGGATGATGGCCCTGGCAGGTGCGCAACCGTTGTTGCAGAAGTTCGAAAAAGTTGCTCGCAAAAGCCCGTTTGACAGAAATGTTTAAAAAGTGTTGGGTTTCCTACGAATCCGCAAGAGCGCGCGGGATGAATTTTTGACATTTTTTTTGAAAAACCATTTGTTTTTTTGATGTTTTTATGTTAAAATCGTTACGAAAACTAAGGTTTTGGAATGATTTCGTCTTGCGCGCGCGAATGTCCACTTTACCTTGTTTTTTGCAAGGGATTCTTGAAGTTTGGATATGTTAGAACAAGAAATGTCCACTTTAGCTTTTTTTTTGCAAGGGAAAACCGATCGCAACAACACAACCAGATCCGGACCAACCCGTTTTGCCTGAGACTTCCTCACGAAAATAATGAAAACGTGGCTGCGGCCTAGGCGCGGCGGGGGGGTCGTGCACCAGGGGCCCCAACAATAATTATTCTTTAAAAGTAATAATGTTCAACAACAACAACAACAGCCGTTTGAAGACTGTTCGCTCTGATCTGCTTGCGTGCCATTCAACACGTATGTCCCAAACCCTCGATACCCGCCTTCTTCGTCTTCGATTGTGCCCCCTTGGGGGTACATCTTTTATTACCTGCAACGTGTATCTCGTGCAGCCCCTAAGACAGGGGAAGCGAGGACGGATGGAAGGAACGGACAAGGGGGAGGGAGGAGGATGGAGCAGGGGATTCGCAGGAGGGGGGCTAGGAGCAGAAAACACGTGGGAGAACCAGACGGGCGGGTAGGCCCTAACG